GCACGTGATGGTCGGCCGCCCCGGACGTCAACGCATCCAAACATATGCAGCAAATGGCGATCGACTCGTTGGCCACGTCTTGGGCCGAGTTGTCCACCGCTTGAGGCGATTGTCTCACCAATTGATCTGATGGTCGACCACCGCATGGCATCACTTCGACGTAATCACATCGCGAACAGTCGGACGAGACATCCATTTGTTGACCACATCTGCCACACAAGTGACTGACGATGACTACGCTGTCATCCATTGCGGACACGACTACTGATTGTCACCACAATTGACATCAAATAATGACAAGACTTTTGCTTTTGCGTCAAATGTGTGGCGATATTCAAGTGAATGCTTAGCCAACGATGTGTAGACAATCGGACACGACATGAACCGTCCGCTCCTTCCCCTCAATCGTATGTAAATCCCAGGAAAGGGTGACTCGAGTAGACCTATAGCTGCATAAAGTCCGCCAAACTTGTAGTCGACGGTCATCTGGAGTCCAGACGTCTTGTAATAGTTGTTAAGCGTATAGTAAGGTATGTATTGATTGACTGGTATTTGCTTTGAATAATGGGTTTAAATGTGAGATAATTCATGAAATATTGAGCCATATGTGAGTGAATAATGCCTTCAATTTAATTGTTTTATAATTTCTATTTTTTAATTCAATTACCTTTATATAAAAATTATGTGTTAATTTAAATCATACTTGTAGTGGACATAAATGTTATCAACAAATATTAATCATAAGAATAGTATTTATTTATATAACGATTGGAAACAAATACATTAGAAATATTTGAAATTTTTAGACAATTTTCTTAATTAACAATTCTTATAGAGTTTTGATCGTTTGGTAGCAAAGTATTGAATACTTGAATGCTAATTAAACACAAATTATTTAACATTAGAAACACAAACATTAATTGAAGCAAAAAATACAAAATTTAAATCAATTATCAAACAAACAGTAGAAATACACACAGAATTGCATAAAGAATTTGAAAAACAATTCACAATATTATATGGAAAGGGATTACAGAATAATAATCATATAGTAACCGCTGAAAGACTGCTTCGCCACTGGTTTCCATCAAAACATCTTTGAATTGAACTGACATTTGAGGAGATATTTGACTTTCACTTGATTGACGTCATAGACGATGAACTCGTTGTACAGAAGCGAACACTTCTGCGATTTCTTCACTCCTCTACCGAACGGCACTTTCGTTCCGTTGGGCATCACATGAACCTCTTGGGGGTCGGGCTCTGTCGCACCCACACCCTTAACGCTGTGCTTGTCTTTCGGCAGTTTTGTCACGTCTTTGGCGTCATTTAGATCCCAACTGAAAGACAAATCAAATGTCAGTCAAAAAGTTATACAAAAACAATGATTGAATCCAAAGGTCATACGTCTCTCCGACTGCCACTTCACTCAGCAATAGGTAACCGATATTCTTGTTGGACTGGTAGTGACAATAGCCGGCGCTCTTAGTGACCATATCCGCAAAATAGATGCCTTTCCCAAACATATATCCGGTTACGGGTGCCTCTGGGGGTGCTATACGAAGACCCTGCGACAGAATACCCGCAAAGTTTGTGACTCGCGATCCGTGCCATAAGAGCATCCGATTCTCGATGTCTTTGAATTTCTGGAACCGTTCGGACTCTCCCTGGCGTTCGACCTTAAAGACGTCGACGATATCCAGACTGAAGTAATGGGTGGATCCGTGAGTGTTCTTCAGGTACTTCTCAATGATCTCGTATTCCTCCTCATCCTTCGTCAACGGCT